CTCACACCCACACACACACACACACACACACACACACACATACACACACATCCACAGACAGACAGACACACACACAAATACACATATAAACAATTTTTATTGTTACATATTCTCTTCATTCGCACATTCGTGTATAAATCGGAAAAAAATCAAACACATCTACTAGCATAAAAATGAACGTGTATGTATGTGTGTTTGTGTATATGCATGTATGTATGTATGCATGCATGTATGTATGTATGTGTATATGTATATATATATATATGTATGTATGTTGGTATGTATGTATGTGTGTGTATATGTATGTGTGTGTGTATGTATGTGTGTATGTATGTATGTGCGTGCATGTGTGTGTGTGTGTACGTGTGTGTGTGCGTGTACAAGAATTCAATCCGTTCCGCATCTCTAGTTTGAAATGTTTACCTAGCATGCAACCAACACGCAATCTTCTTAAAGGGAAAAAATTATTTGATCTGTCTGTCTGACGTTTGTGTTCATCTCTCATGGAAAAAAACTTAAACTAGTATGTAAAAGCAAGGTTTTAATAACGTTATATCGAATATAAATGATAAATTTCTATAAGGCGCTATATAAATACTGCTAATAATGAGAATAAATTTGTATGTTAAATGTAATTTATAAATGTTTTGTTGGTGGTATCAGTTTTTGCAGTAATGTTAATGATGGTGACGCCACTATTGGAGGAAAAATTTTGGATTTAAAATTTATAAAAAATTTACTCAAGTAATAGCAACATTAATTTTTTTTATCGAAACATTAATTATTTATAGCATTTAGTAAAAAGACATTAACACAAATTTGAGAGAGCCACTAAAATTAACAGTATTTTCTTCCAACAAGCAACAGAAAAATTATTAAAACTCAGTTTAAAATAATCAAAATGTACGCTGTAAAGTTTTTCATACTCGTCACAACGACAACACAAATCCACATAAACAACAACAACAACAACCTCAACAACAACAACGAAAAATACCGATACGACTCGGTATCCGGATACCGAATACCGACTCGACAACCGACTTGCGAGAAAATCGAAATGCCCCTCTGCTTCGATATGAGGTACAACCTCACCAGGATGCCAAACTTTTTTGGACACCACACTCAGCGAGAGGCCTCTGATGCAATTGAGGAGTTTCTGCCGATGGTTAAGTTGGGTTAGCTTGGTTTTGAGAATTTTTTTTTCACAATTAGCGCTATATAAATGTATCAATAATAATAATAATATTAATAAAAATAATAATTTTTTAATGGTTATTCAATCTATAAATATACCAATGGATAAAGTTTTTGAAAAAAATTCATTGAGTGGTGTTACATACAACAAACTTGAAATACTGTGTCAATTTGTTGTTATAATTTATTATTAATGCTTATTAATTACCTTCAATTAAATTTTAATATATTAATTAATTCATATAAATTTGAGTTAAGGCATTTGAAACCTACAAAATCGCTTTCGCACACTTGTGAGCGACGAAGAAAACACATACACGCCAACCAAACTCCAAACTATTCACACACACAAACACACACACACCACACACGCACACACACATACACAGACACACAAACAACATCTCACACCTCAGGTTGCTCCAAACTCTTCCGATTTTTCTTATGCACGAGGTACGCACCCCTCTGCTCAGAACAGAACGAAGAATCCTTCATCGTCCCACCGTGTCGATCCCTCTGCCTCGAGGTCAAAAGGTCATGCGCCTTCACCCTTGCAAAAATAAACATCACGTGGCCTCCAACTTTGAACTGTGACTCACTTCCGGCCCGCAGTGACAGTGAGGAGCTGTGCGTCCAGCCACCGAAAGTCAAGGTTTCAGCAGCTGCTGGTGAGGTTGGCGATTACTTTGATTATGGAGATGGAGCTGATTTTACGCCCGTCACCTCGAAGAAAGATAAAGATGGGGGAAGTGAGAGGAGAGGAGCGAAGGAGGACGTCGGCTCGTTGGAAAAAATGAAAAATACCCTGGCAGTTGATGAGGGAAGTTTGTACCCCTGCTCCCTTGAAGAGTTTGCTGTTGTGCGACTTGGCGATGAAGTTGGAAACAGCGAGAAGACCATCCTCATCCATAACAACAACATCCACCGAAATACAAGTCATTACAAATGCCTGCAGAGATGCAACAGAAACATTCTTCACAGTGCCCGTCACAAGATTTTCACCAAAAAATTTCTAAAACTCTGGTGGATAATTTCGATGGTTGCATCGTCATTCACGTTTTTGTCATTTGTGGTGAACGCCTGCAAGTTTAAATATCCAGAGAAACCGATAGCCTACGTGTCTCTGTGTTGTTTGTTGATGGCGTTGACGAGTTTAACGGCGGTGGAGTTGTTTGATGGTGAGTTTGCGAGCTGTAGTAGTGTCGATAGAATGCATCATGTAGTCCCAAACAACCAACATCATCGTCTGAGTACTGGCGAATTTTTCAGTGGAAACGACGAATCAAACGATAATTTGGCCAGCTGGTCCGTGAAAAAATACACTGCTAATAAAAATGATCTTATCAATAACAATTTCAACTTCAACAGCCTCAAAAGCGCAAGTAGTAACCTCAAGAACCACAACAAAAATGTCCTCGCTAACCATAACGACGACATCAAAATTTTGTACAACAGCCACTATTCATCAACAAACATCTTCTGCATGTTAGTAGCATCCCTAAATTACTACACCCAACTTTCCAGCCTTCTCTGGTTCCTAATTCTTTCCACAATTTGGTTTTTAGTGGCGACCAAAAAATGGGGCGAGGAAGTTCTCGTTTCACTTTCCTGGTTTTTCCACATTCTCGCCTGGGGTTTTCCAGCTGGCATAGTGGCATTGGCTATTGTTACACGTGAGATAAACGGCGATGAACTTATACCGATTTGCCGGATCGGATACTCGAATACTTTGTCGGTACTGTACTATCACGCCATACCGATTTTAGCTTGTATCTCGGTAGGAGTTGGGCTTATGATCGTCGGTTTTGTCTCGGTTTCGAGAGTGATTCGTGGTTTGAAGTTGTTTGCGGAAAGAAAAACAGATGCGGAAAATTTGGAAAAAGTCGTTTGTAGGTTGGGCGTGTTTTCGCTACTCTTCACGACATTCGTGATTTTAAGGTTGATCTGCCTGGCAGTTTATTACTTTCAAATTGACGGCTGGCTGGAGAAATCGGAAAAAATTTCAAAAAAATGTCGCGGGGATGAATGCGAGTTGGATGACGAAGACTATCCAGGTAGTTTTAGTTTGGCTCTGTTGGAAAGTTTCTCGATGAATTCGTTGAGTGTGACGACGATTGCTTGGGTTTGGTCGTGGAAGACATTTGACAATTGGTTTCAAATTTTTAAGGGGATGTTCTGTCGGGTTTTCAACAGAAATACAAACGACAACAACAAGATGAACAACAAAGACAGCAGTGCCAACGAAATGAATATCCTTCTTAATGATGTTACTAACGCGAAGAACAAAGTTAAAATTTGTACTACGACAAACAAAAACGCTGATATATAAAGTTATATAATTTGGTTGATTGAAGTGGTGTCAGTTGAAGTAATTAATTTTGCTTTTACAAATGAATTATTTTCGATGCTTATTTTTTTTAGTTTTTATATACAAGTTTTCTTTTTTTTACAAAAGTTTTATTAATTTAATCTTTTTTTTGGAATTTTTTATTCAAAGATGATAACGCTTCGTTTTTATTATTATTCTTAAAGTGTCATCGTTGTAATCGTTGATAAATTAAGCGCTCCATAATTTGAACGAGTTTATTTTATCAATGACGTAATCAGAACCATCACCGTCGTCGTCGTCATCTTCATTAACAGCTTTCAAAATGTTAAAAAATAGTTCTACGTTAAAAATTTCCGAGTTATGGAAGAGAATTTATTGAAGTATAGTACTAATTACAAAAAACTATTACAACTACTACTACTAAATTTGCTACTACTACTACTACTAATACTACTACTACTACTGCTACTACTACTACTACTACTACTACTACTACTACTACTATAATATCGAAATAGTAGTATTAAAAATGAAATTGATCAGTATAACCAAATGAAATAAATAAGCATAAAAGATTAGAATTCACCGAAATTCCAAGCGCTTCGCTTCCAGAACCCATGCCATTTGGTTTGGTCGTAACAGCCGCCGAATCAGCAACTGGCGCAAGAGTAGCAACAGGTGGCGCTAGTGTGGCGTTAGTAGCAGCAGTGAAAGCTGTGTTATTAGCTGCAGCTGCTGTAGTAGCTGAAGTAACTGCAATAGTTATAGTAGGTGCGTTGGTGGTTGAGAATGTTGGTGGATCAGTAGGAACATCTCCGGATGATTGGCCTGCAGTTGAAACTGTTAAATTTGGACTGATGATATTTCAATGTGTGTGTGTGTGTGTGTGTGTGTGTGTGTGTGTGTGTGTGTGTGTGTGTGTGTGTGTGTGTGTATGTGATGAAGAAAAAAATGAGGATGACGATGACGATGATGATGACGAATTCAGCTACTAACTTAAAACAAGGCAGATAATAAACGCGTATTTCATTTTTTTTAGTTTTTCTCTCTGTATCAATTTAATGAAATCATGTAAATACATTTATTTTTTATTATTAATTCATTCATTCGTTCATTCATTCATTCATTTATTCATTCATTCATTCATTCATTCATTCATTCATTCATTCATTCATTCATTCATTCATTCATTCATTCATTCATTCATTCATTCATTCATTCATTCATTTATTCATTCATTCATTCATTTATTTATTCATTCATTCATTCATTCATTCATTTGTTCGGTCTAAAATAAAGAGTAAAGTAGTAAAAAAAAATCTCAAACTATTCTTTACATTTTTAGAAAAATCTACTCTACAATGATAAAATCGTACAAACCCGAAGTTCAAAAGTTCAAATCAATCAAATTGCTTTAATAATTATTAAAATAAATACTAACAACAATACTATAATTAATTATAATTAAAATATTCGATAGTTTCAGCAATAATTATACAATTGTCAAGTTATGAAAAATTTAAAATGGCAAACTCCAGAACGTGGTTAGCCCATTCATTTATAAAGGCTAACATGTATAATTTGGGTAGCAACAATAGTAATAAATATAACAAATAACAACCACAACTTTAACAACTAACTATAATAATAATAATAATAATGATAATAATAATAAAAATAATAACAACAATAATAATAATGCCATTTCAACTCAGGTGTGGCGATATGGTTCAATTATTTCCTCCATTGTCGTAATTAATATACTGTCAATTGAGCAGAAATGGGCTTTAATGACTCTTAAAGTATTTTGTTATTATTATTATTATTATTGTTGTTGTTGTTATTGTTACTGTTGTTGTTGGTATTATTATTGTTTTTATTGTTGCCATCGTCGCCATTCATGGCCGTTGTTTGATATCTTGCCGGGGTGATTTCAATTTGACAAAACTTTGGTACTACAAAAAAGTTATTGTTGTTAATATTATTGTTATTATTATTATTATTATTATTGTTGTTGTTGTTGTTGTTGTGGTTGTTGTGTTGTTATCAACCATATATTCCTTCGCATTCATTTCGTTAATGTTAGTGTTGCCATTCTGTTTCTACTACTACCACTACTACTACCACCACCACCACCACCACTACTACTACTACTACTACTACTACTACTACTACTACTACTACTACTACTACTATTACTGCTACTACGACTACCACTATTACTATTTTAACACAGCAGAAAATTGACAACACCAACCAGGGCAAGGTTCATCAACTACTTAATGTAATTGTTGTTGTTGTATTGGTGATGTTGATGTGTTGTAGTTGTGTCGTTGTTAGCCTATATTATTAGAACTCTGATGACCCAGGTTCTACTGCATGCTTGGTCTCCTTAGTTCTCATAAGGATATGTAAGGTATGAATGAATGAATGAACGAACGAACGAACAAACGAATGAATAAATAAATGAACGAACGAACGAACAAACGATGAACGAATGAATAAATGAATAAAGATTGAATGAATGAAATAGAAAATATGTGTAAAGAAAAAATTGTCAAATGAATAAAAAGATTGATGAACAAACGAACGAACGAATTCAGGATTGAATGAACATACAAACAAACGAACGAACAAATAAATGAATGAATGAAAAAGATAAAGAAATAAGCAACGAGACATTAAATAACTTTGTAACATTGAATATGTTAGAAACACGTCTGACATCCATTGGGCGAATTCGTAAAAACGTCAACCAGATATTTCTGCAATAAACTGAACAAGGGAAATCATGGTTGGTTTAACTTTGGTTTCAATTGTATTTTTTCTGTAGATAAATAAATAAATAAATTAATTAATAAATAATAATAATAATGAAATGTTAGCCTGATCAAAAAGATGCCGTTCCAATTGATGATTGCTGACAGATGACGAGTAGCAAACTGTTCCGTATTGATTGCGAAAAGCAGTTTGGAAAGCTTTGGAAAGCTTTTCTTGACAAAAGCGGATGACTGGTTGGTTGAATGATTGGTTGATTGATTGATTGGTTGGTTGGTTGGTTGGCTGGTGGATTGGTTGGTTGGTCGGTTGGTTGGTTGGCTGGCTGGCTTGATGGTTGGTTGGTTAGTTGTCTGGCTGGCTTGTTGGTTGGTTGGCTGGTTGATGCAGTTGCAATGATGGAGGCGGACAAAGGCAACAGATGAGTGAACGAGGTTGTGAAGATATTGTGGTTGTTGTGATGTGTTGAGGGATGAATGAATGAATGGGTTGATAGATGAATGCATAAATTCACGAATGAATGAACGAACGAACGTATTAATATACTCAAACTATCATTTTTATTATAATTGTTAATTTATTTATTAGGAAATAAGAAACATCCAATTATCAATAATCAAACTACTACAACATTTCAAAATAATGTTGGGTTGTTTTTGTTGATGTTGTTGTTGATGATGTTGTTAATGTTGAAGTTGTTGTTGATGATGTTGCTGTTGTTGCTGTTGTTGTTGATGATGTTGCTGTTGTTGCTGGTGTTGTTGTTACTGTTGAAAAAGTTGTTGACGCTGTTGTGTTGTTGTTGTTGTTAGTTTTGTTGTTGTTGTTGATGTTATATAAAAATTATCAACCCAACAAAAACAAAATAGTTTGAAAAATTAGTGATGAAAAAAACTTAATCCAACATAAACAATTGAATTCACCACAGCCATGTGATATTTCACTGCATTTCTAAGTTTAAACAGACAGACAAACAAACTAATGTGTGTTAAAAGTACATTTCTTCATACAAGTTAAACTATGTCAATATCAGTTATAAATTAAATACAAAACATTATATAAATATATAATGTATGTATATATATGTGTATAAATATATATAATGTTTATTCATGGATTTTCAAAGACCATGGTTATCGTCTAGAAGGTCAGGGCCGTCTAGAAGGTCAGGAAGGGTCATCTAGAGGGTCAGGGTCGTCATAAATGCCGCAAGCATCACTATCAGCAACGTCCCGGAGACCTTTAATAATGGTGTTATTCATAATAATAATAATAATAATAATAACAACTCTACTACAACGATAATAATAATAGTAAGAATGGGACTCGACCAAAGAACAATGAATTTTCTTTAACAACATCTTACGAATAATCCTTGCGTTCCATTTGGAAGTATTTTTTGGGGGGTAGTAGTAGCTTGTGTTGTAGTAACAGCTTGCATGGCTCCGGTAACCGTGCCACTAACAGTCGTGCCACCAGCTGCTCTGGTTGTTGAAGCTGCTGCAGAAACTGTGGTAGTAGTAGCTGATGTGGCTGTACTAGTTGAAGATGAAGTTGCTGAAAATCCAATCTCCGCGAGGGCAGCTATGATGATGTTGATGATGACGATGACGATGATGATGATGAAGATGATGATGTTGATGATGTTGTTGATGATGATAATGATGATGATGATGGTGGTGGTGACGATAATGTTGATGACAACAACAACAACGACGACGACGACGATGATGATAACAAATGAAAGCAATGAAAATGACATCACGGTGACGTCATTAACTCACCGACAACCAAGCAACTGAGAACGATTTTGTTCATCTTTATTCCAGCCTGAATTATATCATTAAAAATATCGATCGATCGATCGATCGATCGATCGATCGATCGATCAATCAATCAATCAATCAATCAATCAATCAATCAATCAATCAATCAATCAATCAATCAATCATTCATTCATTCATTCATTTTTTTAGTCAATCATTTTCAATTCACTAACACTAACAACTTCAATATCTGTAGAAAACCTTCAAAAACTGTTAAATCTTCAAAAGCACTGGACCGACAGCCTAGGACAGATGATAAAATTTAACCAATTAATTAATCAATAATAATTTAACTTAGATAATTAACGAATTAAAGCATTAACCTAGTTATTATTAATTATATATATGGCTAATTAATTAATTAATGTTATTAGATTAAATAATAATAATTTACCGGAAAATAACAGAGAAATTGAACTAGCTAAAGTTAACTATCAGGGTTTTATAAGCAGGCAGGCAACCAGCGATGCGTGAAAATTAATTATACTTTATTCTGATCCATAATTTCATTAGTTATTATTATAAATATTATTATTATATATATATATAATAAATAATAATATTATTGTTATCGTTCTTTGTGTGTGTGTGTGTATGTGTGTATGTGTATTTGTATGTGTATGTGTGAGTGTATGTGTG